CTATCTATCTATCTATCTATCTATCTATCTATCTATCTATCTATCTATAATATATAACTATATTAATCTAGTTCTAGACTATGTCTATAATATATAACTATATTAATCTAGTTCTAGACTATGTCTAGAATATATAGTCAGTTTTAGAAAACTAACAATTTAGTCTGATTTGTTTCTCCTGTTAATTTTACTGCTGTTAAAAATATTTGGAAGATTTTATTCTTGTATGTGCAAGATATAAGACAAAATTTTATATAGACACTTTTAGTTAAACTAGACATTTTTAATTAGGCTATTAAGTTAGCTATGGTATGGAATGAATTTTTCAAAGAATATTTAATTCTGTTTCTATATATTTTATGTTAATAAAAGCTATATAGTATATCTTATTTTTAGTATTAGTACCATTGTAATTATAAATATGCTTTGATTACCTATCTTAATGGAATGTATAATAAACAGCAACAGTACAGTATCACATTAAAATGTACCTAAACAGCACATTGTGTATGTGCTATGCAAAATGAGTGTATGTGCATAAGTGTGTGTGTTTAAAAACTTACTTCCAGTTGGAATTAAATCTCTGTCAGGAATGAATAGTTTGTACCCATAATGCTTTTCAAGCATATCTGGTAAGATCTCAAGAGCAAATCGTTCTTCTTCCCCAGTTTCCTGATTCCATTGGTCAGGATCCACTTTGGTATATGACAAATAGGCATCATAATCTTTGTTATCTGTAAATATAAAGGCACAGAGAAGAGAGACAGATGAAAAAGAAATTTGTTTCATATTAATTTTCCTCTTCCTATTTTATATGTCCATGTAAATTATTCTGAAATATTTCTTAATTATTCTTCATCTTTTTTATTTGACCATATATTGCTAAGTAGCTGCTTGTGCTACATCTTCTCTACAATGTTTTCATGATCACAAAAGCCATTTTACTAGATTCTCATTTCAAACTGAAAACTAAATTTCCTTCTTCATTTCTCTACCTACAGCCTTCATAAGACATTTGCAATATTCATAGGAACTTCAGCATTTTAATCTTATAAAGATCCTAATGTATGTTAATGCAGTCAAACAGACAACATCAAAAGTGACAGACACATGCCCATTTTAAACTACAGGAAAAATAATTAATTTTCACAATATGCCTTGGAAAAGTTCATAGGAGACATGCCAGAAATGTTTTTGTTTTTCAATAATACTGTATTTTCTCATAAATGTTTATATTATAAAATAGAATAGATCTTGGAGGTCTCATAGTCCAGTCCCCTGCTCAAGCAGGAAACCCTAAACCATTTCAGACAAGTGGCTATCCAGTCTTTCTTAAAAACCTCCAAGGATGAAGCACCCACAACTTCTGAAGGCAAACTGTTCCACTGGTTAATTGTTTTCACTGTTAGGAAGTTTCTCCTTAATTTCAAGTTGCATCTCTCCTTGATTAGTTTCCATCCATTTCTTAAATACTGCAATACTGCTATCAAAATACTGGAATACTGCTATATTTTATAGTCTACATTTAATAATGATATAGGCCTGTAGTTCTTTATCTGTGTCAGATCCAAATCTTATTTTGGAATTAGAATTATATTTGCTTCTGCCAAGGTATTTGGTATCCTGGCTTCTAGCAGTACTTCATTATAAACCTCTAGCATTGACAGACTCAATGTGTCTTGTAAATATTTATAAACTTCTGCAGGTAATCCATCTGGTCCTGGGGACTTATTGTTCTTTTGTCTTTTTATTGCCTCCATCAACTCCATAATCGTTATTCTTTCATTTAACATATTTTTAATGTTTTCAGGCACTTTTGGTAGTTTAGCTTTTGCTGCATCTTTTTAACACCCATCCATAAATCATTATTATTTTTTTGAAGAGATTTTTGGTTTTTTCCCTCCTCTGGACTTTTCCTTTTTTGAAGAGATTTCCCTTCCCCTCACCTCTATTCTGTTATAAGCTTTTAAAATATTATCTACTTGATTCCAACTTATCAGTCCTTTCTCTCCATTATCTTTATTTTCTTGCATCTCACTTTGATTTTTATCTTCCACTGCTTCTTCTAATTTCTGATTTATTTCCCAAATATTTTGTTTCTCTTCCCCCACCCCCCACCCCAAATTATTGCAGGCCTTCTACATTCAGTTCTTTATCTTTAGGCACTCCTCTTGTCTCCTTATTGTTCTTTATATTTTCATGCAGTAGTGGGATGTAATTTTTTTTTTACTACCGGTTCTGTGGGCGTGGCTTGGTGGGCATGGCAAGGGAAGGATACTGTAAAATCTCCAGTCAGAAGTGGCATTTGCCGGTTCTCCAAACTACTCAAAATTTCCACTACCGGTTCTCTAGAACTGGTCAGAACTTACTGAATACCACCTCTGGTTTCATGCATGTTTTTAAGCATCAAAATTATTTCTTCATATCCCTCTATTATCCCCTGGTAATCCATTGTATTACAATTCAGTAAAAAAATTACTCAATATACCTCTGTAATTCCAACGACTCAATATTTAAATACTCCCACTGATCCAGTTATTAGTAAAACAATCATTCTCATAATTATATTTCCAAATCCCCTAAATTTATAATTTTTAAAATTCTTTAGTATTTTATATTCCCAATTGTTTATCTTCCCAATTGTCCAAATTTTAAAGTCTTATTTAATTTTCCTTCTTTTCTCTTTCCTTCTATCCCTTTTCTTCTTTGACCTCGTATGATGTTCTGTCAGATAGTATTAATAGTCCACATCTAAATTAATCCACTGTATTTTCTCCAATCTTTGGAGTCCTCAGTCCAATAACCAATTTCGATAGTATTTAATTAATAACAATTTAGTTTATCTTTAAAATCTTCAAAAAGAAAATAAAACTCACTCAGTAGTTCAAAATATCCAAATCACCTTCTGAAATAGAGTCAAGGTCAGACCACTTTCCCAGCTTTGTTTACTTTCTTCTATTAAGTGTATTAGACATTCCACACTTTCATTTGAGGATTTCACGCTGTAGTACTTTTCTTCTTCCAGTAAATGGAACTCCTTCCAAGTTCCAACATTAAACAGTATATCAAAAACAGCTGGTTTCCATATAAGTCCCCAGGGGTTTAGAAGTAACAAATATAAAAGACAGTTCCTCCCAAGATTCACCTTCTTCTGACCAAGGCTTCCTGAGACAGTAACAATCACACGCTATTCCCAAAACCCTTTTTTAAAAATTTCAACAGCTGTGAATTATATGCATTCATAGCCTGTAATGGGTCCCAAACAGTTTATGAATAGTCCAACAAAAGTCTGCCACAGTCTTTCGGGATAAAGCTGAGAAGCACCTACCTTTATCTCCCTGCCAATGACTAAATTGTACAAGGCCAAACGGAGCACAAAGTCAACACAGAGCTTTAGATTTCAAACTGACCAGAACAAACAAAGTTGCTTCCTGCAAAGTCTCATGTCCCTTTGCTCCTCCTTTATGTATTATGGGATGGGCCAATCATCTCCAAGCCTTACTCTTGAGTTGCCCCTTTTGTCTTAACTGTTCTTGCCTTCTGGTAGCTCTGTGCAAGCACACACTGGAAACAGGCTCCCTCTGTTCCTCTGCCTCACTGATGTCAGATTCTGGAGGCTCTGGAGTCAGCACATAGCTCTCAGATGGCCCTGGCCCCATCTCTGTGTCAGACGCAGATCCCTAGTCCGAGCCCTCCCCAGACTCCAGGACAGGCCCATGTTCCTTCCATTGTCCAACTCTGCTGTCAGCTCTGCAGGATGCAGGCGGACCAAAACACACCTTTCAAGTTGTTCAGCCAGGTTTTCTATATTTTAAACCTTCCTTTAAGCATTCTTTCACCTCTTAAAAATAGCATTGGTTTTTAAGTGGGTAATCCCAGCATTTCAAAGGTGCTAGGTTGCTGCTGTTTTTTAAAAATAGTTGTGAACCTCTCTTTCCCTGGATATTTTTTTGGGATTAACATTTGAATAAAGCTCACCCAGCTCACACACTGTTCACCAAACTCCGCTTCTGCACAGTGCTTAGATGATCATCATCTCTCCCAGCTTTCATGGCAACCATCTTAGACTGCCTCTTCTCCTTGCTGTGGCATAAAGGGAAAAAAGCCCTGAGGTTTGATAGGAGATTGCGATCTCCCCTGCTACCTCACAGAGTGCCCCTCCTTAGCTTCACCACCCCTACAAGGCAGCTTTGGCTTCTATAGAAGCCCACAAACTGGGAGAAAACTAGTATAGGAATGGAGGTGAGTGTTCTGTACGCCTGGTGTTGCTGGGAGGCTCCACCCTCCTCAGAAAAATCTTTATGTAACTGTGCTAATTTCTTCTTGGATTTCTTATTTTTCTTTTTCAGTCGTATTGTGCTAGACTGGGCTTTTATGATTATATTTTTCAGAATTCCCGACCCTTCATCCATAGAATCTTTCCTAAGGTCTCTCTACGTTTGTTAAAAACAGCTCTTTCAAAGTTTAAGACACTAGTTGGATTATGTTCTATGGCTTGTGTTTGCATTATATTGATTTTCAATATGATGTGATCACTCACACCCAAAGTTCCACCAACTTCAATTCCCTCTATCACCTCTTCTCTATAACTAAGGATTAGGTCCAGTATAGCTTTCCTCTAGTTCCCTCCTCTATCTTTTGGATGACAACATTGTCAGCTAGGATGGCTGCAGAGTTTGTCTCTCAGTTGATATCAGGGTAGTTAAAGTCTCCCATTACTACCGTGGTATGCTTTCTATATACATTTGTTAACTTGTTGGCAAAAAGTTCATCTATTTCTTCTGATTGGTTGGGTGACCTATGGCAATGTCATTCTTTTTTCCTTTTATACTGACCATATACATTCTAGGGCAGGAGTCCCCAACCTTTTGGACCTCAGGGACCACCAAACTCATAATTTTAAATCCCGCGGACCCCTATTATGAATTTTGACTGACAGTGGCTTGCTTATGTTGGTGGGAAAGTTGGTTCCATATTCCAGAGCTGCAGTAGTCACAGGACTGGCCCTTTGGTCATCCTGGAGCAGCAGCTTCTCCACCTGGGTGCACTGGCCTGCCATGGACTGGAGGAGCTGCTGCTCCAGGATGACCAAAGGGCCAGTTTTGTGACTACTGCAGGTCTGGAATATGGGACTGACTTTCCCCCAACATCAGCAAGCCACCCCAGGGCAGATTTCCCTCCCACGCCATTGATCTTACTTTCCAGTTCCAGCTTACATGGCTCTACTCAAGGTAAGATTTGTGCTTGGCCAAAGGGTGGGGGCCAGCGGGTAGGCAGGCCATGTGGGCAGTGCATCCTTGTGTTCACATGCAACCTGGATTAATTGCTTTGGAGGGAGTGCTTTGGGGGGGGGACATTTCTCTGAGGACCACCAAAATTTTCTTGCGGACGACCAGTGGTGCCCGGCTCACCGGTTGGCAACCACTGTTCTAGGATTTTTTAAATCTTTGATTATGTGCATTTCTGTAGATATATACTGATCTCTTACATATAGTGCAATGTCACTTCCTCTTTTTGTAGATCTGTTTCTCTTAAACAGAAATATTTTTGAATATTAACATAAGTCCTATTGGAAAGCTTGTTCCAATTGATGGAATAGCTTCTTTAATAATATAAATAAGTGACTGGCTTTTACTCTGAATGGCTTGAAATTCCAAGTATTTGTCAGAACAGTTTTCTTGAAATAAATACCCTGACAGTAGTAAATGAACAGTAGTAACAAATTATTAACTTT